CGGCTCTGCGCCGGGGAGCCCCTTCCTACAGCCGGGGCGGGCTGGTGCCGGCCCCCCGGCCCCCGCCGCCCATTGCTGGCTTCCCTTACCCTCCCCCGGGAGGGTGGCCCGGCCAGGCAAGGCGGAGCCCTCCTGGCCCGGTCTTGAGTTTGAAGGCCTCCAGGCCTGACGTCTTGATGTGGCGCGCAGGGATCCGAGGCCTTCTGTCGTTGCGGCGTTGATCCGGCCGCCTCGTCCGTGAGCCGGTTTGCACAGGTAGCTCAGCCCAGGAAACGTTAGGAAGTGGTAAGCAGTCACCTTCATGGAGACTGGCCCGTTCTTGGCGTGATATTTGCGATACAGCAGCGGCACAGAAGGCGCTTTTCCGTTGCTCTCTAGCAGTCAGTGGCAAACCACTGTTCTGGTTGGTGTGTCTTCAGGGAGACTGTTGCAGGTGATTGCATCACGTAAACTGGATTTGCTTCCTGATAGAGTACTGTGCTGAAAACAAGCTCATATTCCCCTTAAAAGTGCTGCAACTTTATAAACTGACTATAACGGACACTTACAGGCTGCTGCCCGGTGGTTGTTACCTTGCAGCAAAGTTATTTTTTGCAACAGTTTAGATGGGCTAAGTTCAGTTACTTCTGATGAAAGGTTCTGCAAACAGTTTTCACAGGCCTAGAATTGTTGTATTAACTTGTGCTTTAATGTGAGAATTTCGTAGACATTGACGTGTCAAATAGGGTGTCCACTACACCCAGAAAATGCTAATATCTTACAAAGTAAGCAACTGGTTAATATAATCCACATGTTTTTGCCTCAGGACTTCTCCACGACTGCTTTGTGTAGCAACACAACAGAAAAATACTGGCCAGAACTTGGAAGAGGACCAGAGTCAGAGCCAAAATGAGCAGAAGGTTGAACCCAGCTCTGCTGAAAAAATGTTAACTGAAGAAAAGGCCAAACTGGAAGAACAACTAAAAGAAGTTACTGTAAGTGTCTTTTGGTCATCAGGTTGCATACCTTACAAACCGCATACCTGAGAGCGTTCATTATGGGTTCTCAGTACACAGTCTGGATACAGTTGTGTGACTGCTCTTTAGTTGTTGAATAAAAACCTGCAATTCGATAATTTCTTTAAACTTAAGAGTAGGTGTAGTACAAGACCTGAGATGCATCTCTGGTCCAAAATGAAGATTTTCAATAGTTTCCTTCCGATTTCTGGATGGAATTGGACCTTCTCCAGCCTGAAAATTTGTTACTGAGTTTCGCTGACTTCACTTAGGTTTTGCTCAGTGGAGAAATAATTTTTGGAAGCCCATGGAAGGGTTTGAGTGTGTCTTTGATGTGTGTATTTGTGTGTGCTAAGAGTAGGCTTTCTGAAAACAGCTGCTGACTTTTCAAAGGTCAGGGTTAATGATGCTTAGCTTTTATATAATAGTGTTCTTATTACATACTTAGGAAACTTATTACATACTTAGGAAGTGGAAGTTTCAAACCTTCTCTGTTGGAGAGCCCTTCAAACACAAGGCTGAAGCGTCACGTTCCCTCTGTCTGGCCTAATGTATCTTGCAGTCTCTCCATGCGTGACTTCAGCAGAGGATGAAGGATGTCCTGAGAGGTGGGAGGTGTGGATTAAACAAAGGTGTTGCTTTTCTGAATGAGTGTTCTACATAAAATGTCTTTCTAGAGCATTTGAGACTTGGAGAAGCAGCACCTATGAATCATAAGTGGATTGAATTTCCTTTCTCTTGCCCTTCCCAAAGCACTGAAGGGTAAAGCAGAGATGTCATTTAACATCTCTGTTGATGGCATTTGCTATTGGCTATCTAACGTGGCTTCTCAGTCAACTCGTTGACCATTTTTATTCTGTTTTGAGATTCTTCACTAGCATGTGAAGGTCAAGCATATTCAGAGTGGAAGCCCAACATGGAGTTCTGGGTTAGGTGGTGAAGCACTCAACCTGAAGTGCCTAAGTTTAGTGAATTTCATTCTTCGTACATCTGCTGCTAGCTGGCCATATTGCTAGGAATAGACCAAAACGTAACCTGAACAACAGAGGAGTTAGACTTCATAGTGTGTAAAGTTTGAAAAAACTGGAGGACACTCTGTGGTATGTATGGAGAGGGAAGAGATGGTTTGAAAGTCATGGCTGGGTTGAATCTCATTTGCCATAGTGTCAAAATACCTTATGACTGATGAAGCCTTTCTGTGAATGCACATCAGAAAAAGCAGAAATCTTTGATTCATAAAACTTGACATATCTGTAGAGTTACAAATTTCTTACAGCTAATCTGTTGACAAATACTGAGAGTCTGGAAACCCATCTTATTTCCTTGCCCTCGCTTCTGTCTGCACTAAAGTGAAGCAAACATCTGCCTCAGTAGGAAGGATGCTGTGATAATTGGCACGTTGTCTTCAGATTGCTGTCTAGATGGTGGGTTTAGGCTATGTAACTCTTTAAAAATGCTGTTTTATACTGAATATGCTGTTTTGAATTACTGTCAACTACCCAACCACCAGGAATGAAATCTCTTCCGTTACTGGTTTTTCTTCTTCAGGACAAGTACAAGCGTGCCTTGGCAGATGCAGAAAACGTGAGGCAAAGAAGCCAGAAACTGGTAGAAGAGGCAAAGTTATACGGTCAGTGGAGGCTCCTTTTGTGCATACTCGTAAGACCCATGAAATGCAAAGCCTGGAAAATTGAGCTGACTGGTCCGCAGTTTTGACAAGTTGTACTTCCCAGTGATTCTGACTACTTGGTTAAAAAATGTATTTGAGGCAGAGAGGTTCGAACGGTTCCTCGTTTTGCATCAGAATTGTAATCATCTCGCTAGACAAGGGCAAGACTTAAACTGCTAACGTCAACAACTTGAAATGTTCTTTAAATTTAGTATCTGATTTCCTACAATATGTACTGCACTAGTAGATTTTTCAGTAAGGTTTGCAGGCTGAAGTCTTCCTTTTTCATGCACTTTGGTCTCAGAACTGACTGCAAAAAACTGAACCAAGAGCATGGAATACTAGCTTTCCTCTGGTTTGGGTTTTTTTGTTCTTGATGTTTGGTTTGGGTTTGGTTCTTTTTTGGGTTTTTGTTTGGGGTTTTTTTAGCCTTTTATATTGGATTAACTTTTCTGTTCTGTTGAAGGCCATAGCTTTCAAATAGAAGTAATACGTTTAGATGGGTGGATTCTTTTCAGTGGTAGGAATGTACAATCACTGGCTACGAGGACTGCTAGAAACACAACTTTCTTCAAGAGCCATCTTTCCTGACATCTGATTTAGCTTTTTGACAGTTCAAACACAAATCTGTAAAACAGAAATTGTATGCAAATACTGCAGTAGAAGAGTGCTGTATCATCGTAGTGTTTGACTGTCACCCTGGCTTGAAAAATGAGTTGGCCTTTTTTGCCACACGCTATACACAGCTGTATAGTTTAATTCTGAATACAAAGTTCTAGTTTCTGAATACAGGGTCTTCAGTTAACGTGTACTGTAAGAAAAAGCATTTCTCAGTTACATAGTATTCTCGTACCGTTTTCATGGATGTTTGAATGCTTCATCCTGAAGCTGATTTTCAATAAGCATTGTTTCACTAATATGCTACTTAGTGCAGGAGGACTTTGAGTCATGTCTGAGCTACAGTGAAATGCTGTGATGCTACAATAGAAATATTCAAATAAAATTTCTCGTGAAAACTAAATTACAGATCATCTGCACGATTGTAAGTTTTATCATTCGCGTATGACTGCTTTTTCTGTTGAAGGAAGAGAAACTCGTTTCTGAGACTTGCATAAATTCACAGACTTGCAGTCACAGGTATCTGCAGAGATGACTTACGCAAAAAAAAGCCCGAACCAAAACAAACCACCTTCTGAAGAGTTTGGTTATTTGGTTTGATCCAGATCACTAGACAACTGGTTAATCTGTGTTTGGGACGCTTCAGCCCTAACTGCAGTTTTAGTTTTAATTTAAAACCTTGATTCCTTTGTTCATATTTTTGGAACTACTTGGAGACTGTTAGTTACTGTTCTATAAAGAGCTCGAGTCTCTACGGAGTTGTGGAATTGTTGAAGTGACCCTTTCCTGAGAACTAGCTGATCCCTATAGATCTTGCAGGGTGCTTCTGTAGGTTTTTTTGTTTAAACCAAAGACTTGGCCTCTGGTAATGCTCATATTACTTCTTGGTAAGGAAAAAAAAAAAAGTCTAAAATGTGAGCTAGAATTAAAAAGGCTGTCTGTGGCTAAACAAAAAAGAAAAACAAGGCTACTAAAATGCAATGCAGTTTGTCATTGGCCTACCTCTGCGTAGAAATGTGTTATTCTACTGAATTTTTATTTTTCATGATTTCTAGAGACAGTTTGCCTTAAGTGAGATTAGTCCAGATTCTTTTAGTGTGAGCCAGAGAACAGCTTCAGGACACGGACTGTCGTTAGCTTGCGAATTGCTTGGTCTTTACAAGGCACAGCTTCTGACTCTGTAAAAGTGGTTTGTAGTGGGAGGGAGAGGTGTGAGTTCTTTTCATTCAAGGAAGAATCCCTGTTCATCTTTTGGACTCATCACTGACAACATGCTTTTTGTTCTGCAAATATTTTTAGCACATCAGATTAAAGGGTAGGAATAGGGCAACATAATGCTTTGAAGTTTAGGTGAATCCCAGGATGAGACAGACATGAGGAAATTACATTAAACCATCTGAAGGTTTTGGTAACTTTGGTTAGAATTTTAACTGTTGTTAATGTCAGGTCATCAGCGTAGCTTTAGCTCTTTGAAGTATTAAGTTGAAATACATTTCTAAAAGAAAGAGTGCAGATTATTGCTGTAGGTTTTGGGGTTGTGGGTTGTTTTTTTTTTTTTTAACGCTTGTTTCCCTCAGTGGACTAATCCCATTCCCTTCTCTTTTCTTTCTTTTTAGGGATTCAGAGCTTCTGTAAGGACTTGCTAGAAGTTGCAGACGTTTTGGAGAAAGCAACAGAAAGTGTTCCAAAAGAAGAAATTAAGGATGAAAATCCTCACTTGAAGAGCTTATATGAAGGTCTTGTTATGACAGAAGTACAGATTCAAAAAGTGTTCAAAAAACATGGCCTGCTCAGACTGAATCCTGTCGGAGCCAAGTTCGATCCCTATGAACACGAAGCATTGTTCCATGCTCCCATGGAAGGGAAGGAGCCTGGCACTATTGCATTAGTATCCAAGATTGGCTATAAGCTGCATGGGCGTACACTGCGGCCTGCCTTGGTGGGTGTTGTGAAAGACGCTTAGCTGCTTAATCTGAGAATTTAAAATGCCATACAACTATTAAACAGCTGGATGGTTTTTCTGTTACACCATGCTTTCCTCATTCCTCTGCCCCCTGAGAGGTTTAAATGAATTGGCTGAGGTCTCCCAGTGAAAACGAAGCAACTGATGAAATTCTCCTGCTTAGTGGCCTTCAACATCACTGTTCTGTAAGCTCTCTTCTTAAGTGTGAAATACAAGAGCCATTAAGCCTTCTAATGCTTTAGATTAGATAACATTTTTTACAACTGTTGCTACTGAAGGTGCATTAAATTGAAAGGAACGAAATGCTCACAAGAATTTTGCAATCTCACGTTTATCACTCTGTGTAGATTGAAAATCCAAATAGTGGTTCAAACACTTCCTTTTGTTTTGTAGAATCTAACCTTGCAGAAGTGGGTGAAGTAGTACAAATAACCCGTTTCCTGCAAGCGTCCATCAGCCTTTACACACTGATGTGGTAAATACCCTTTTTCGTCTATTCCGAAATAATCTCTCTCAACAACTGAAATTGAAACTTCTGTGAATTCTGACCTGTAAATAAAAGGCAATGGAGAGTAGACATCTCTCTTAATTGTTCAACCCTTTTTGTTCTGTAGTAACGTTGACTCGAGAAAACCATCTAATACTTGTATGGCATTGAAGAACCAACAGAATTTATCCTATCTCTGGATTTTTAATTTAATATTGTATAAATTGGTTTAAACAATTTTGATAGTCTTGTAACTTCCAAGCTTTACAATCAGTTTGTTATGCAAACTGTAGTTACAACCCTGCTGAAAGCCAGAATACCCACAGAAGCGAGTAGCTGAGAGTTTGGTATATACTGTCTTTTAGAATTACATAAATAATTGCATGTAAGTAAGTGGCTCAAACAAAAATGTGAACTTAGTTTCATCTTCATTTCTTGCATTTACTCAGCTTGGATCTTAAGTTGCAACAGAACTTTTCCCATATGCAGCTCTTGCCGTGTCCAACACCACCTGCTGCTCCCGATCCTGCAGAATCGGGCTAAATACAACACATGGTTAACTGAATGCTTTGTCCTACATTTGTCTGGTTACCTGGATAGGAGTGGACAGAACTTGGCAAATTACACAACTGACAACGCGTCTGTCCTCTTGTATCCTCAAAGCCCGTACGCGTAACACACAGGACAGAAATGTCAAACTTAGGCATGTTGTTAGGACCAGGTGAACAGTAAGTACTTCTGAATTTTTCACCCTTGCTTCTGGTTAACTTGGATTAAGGTGCTTCTTACCTTAAGGTCAAGTAGCAATTATTTTTTTTGGTTGAGATGCAGAGTTGCCAACAGCTTACCGAACACTAGACCTACTCGTGGTGAGAAGTGATTACCTGTTCTTTAAGACTTTTTTTCCAGTGCTGGTTTGCCTCATGGGAATCAGACAGTTAACTAGGAACAACCTAAGTGCATACTACTGTTTGGGGGTTAGTCATGTGTCAGGATTAATTCGTTCTTTCTCAACCCTGAGAAAGAAAATCAATGCTTTGACTGGGTAGGGGAGAGAGAATAATTTGTGGTGCGTGTGAGAAGACAACTACAGTGTTAATTTTTTTAAACTAGTCAAGTACAGGGATCAAAATGCAATGATTGCGTGTAAAACTACAGGGAAAAAAAAGGGGATTCCATATACTTAAGTTGAATTTGGAAGTAACTTCCTTCTGTCTGGGTTAGAGCGTGCTGTAGCGGCATGACGTAGAATTGAAGAAATGGTTTTGTTGCACTTTGACTGGAACCTGTGCTCAACTGATATGCCATAAAGGGACCAGGGTCCATATATATACCTTTTAAGAACTGTCATGTGTGTTCTGCCCCCTTCCCAACCCCTCTGGATCTAAACTACATTTAATAATAACTTCATTAGTATAGAAGTTTTTTCTAGTAGGGCAATTAAAACAAAGGGACAGCTTCTTCCCTAGCAGATCTTGTTAATAAGCTTCCCAGAGCCCCACACAAACTGTCTTTTTTGGACTACATTAGTTCATTCAGAGTGTTCTTAAACACAAGTTACTGTTAAATGTTCAGCACAAGACTCAAACTAGTATCTTTAAAGCTGATAACCGAGTACCTCATTGAAGTGGTTCCTTTTCCTTGGCCTGCTCTTTCAGAGAGGCTTTTGGCATGGAGAGCTTCAGTCTTTACCAAGAGCTCAAACCACCTGTGCACTCTGCCATACAACAGAAAGAAGCACTGAAGGAATCAAAGAACAGAGGGAGGCAGTTCCGAAACTTAAGCGTAAGAGCAGCCAACAAAGCTACCACCAGTACCTCCGGTTTAGCCATTTCATAAACACCACTTCTCCACTCATCATCATTTAGCTAAAATGCATCTCCATTTGTTATTGCAAACACTTAAGCCATTTTCCTTATTATGCAAACTACGTTACCATTAAATCAATAATGGAAAGAAACTTTAATACAAGTTTATTTACCAATATACAATGCAAAAACCTAGTAAAATGCTGGGTGTGCACAACATCAGGTAGGTTTTACATGATTTCAGCACAGGCATTTGTGTGTCTGGCACAGCTACACCAGTACACTATTCAAATGAGTGCAACATTCCCTTTAAGGAAGAAGCTGATGAGGTGAACATGCTCACCAGGTACCTTCCTTCACAGTATTTAATGTGTCATCACTTACTTAAGAGCAACTGGGGCACATGCAAAAATATTTCGCAAGAAGAGATAGTAAACCGAAAGGCTAATGAAGTCCGTTACAGTTGCAAAGAAATTTGATGCAGCCGCCGCACAAGAGAATAACGGCAGAGTGCTTAGCCTGTGTGATATACAAGGCAGTTTATGGTCAAAGACGCGTGCAAACCTACTAACGCTGTTCTTAATGCTTGCCGGGACTGCAACGGAACACAGAGCCGGAGGGTCTGTATCCAGAATACTCTGTAACAAGCCCTTCTGCACTGGGTAGCACACACAGAATGGAGATTAATGCTCCCCTGTTACCTAGTGAGCAAATATTACCATAAAACATCACTGGGACTGGACTGATTGAAGTAAACATACAGCATTAAAACAGACTTATTGCTGCCTCTACCAGTAGCAGATCAGTATTTTGAACAGCTTATGGAGTGTCACTTTTTCATAGGCTTACATCAATGCTGTTAGGACAGATACTATCATTAGTAATATCTTTAATTAGAAAAGAGCATTAAGCATATAGAACACCTTTTCATTAGCAACATGAAGGCTAAGTTATTTGTACAGTACAGGAAGCACTTCCAGATCAACACAAGATACAAGTTGAAGAGCTCTTTGCCATGTTTTTTCTCAGCCCCTTCACCACAGAAGAGAAGCAGCGCAGCTCTAGTAAGTCAGTCGCTGGATTAACATACCTGCATCTCAACTTAAAAACAAACAAACAAACAAACAAAAACAGCAGCTCATAACAAAGGAATGCTTAGACTAAATCAGTTCCATGTGAAAATATGGAACAGCAGCATCCTCTAGTGCAAGTCACCTTTAAAATTAAAAGCAGAGCTGACAACAAGACATTGCTTCTAGGGAAGCCCTTTCCAAGGGACTAGTATTTGCTAAAGCAAACATTTACCACCTTGAATTTGCTTGTAAGTATAAAATAAATATTGATATCCATATTTCATACATTAAAAATACTTTATTTTACATTCATTTTGATGTTCAATAAGTTACGTCTAGCACCAAAGAAACATTTTGGAGGGGCTGAGGAATTAAGAAACTACAAGTGTAAATGCAGAACTCACTTCCAACATTTAAATGACTCATTGGTGCCTAGATTATTTTTTTTTTAAGTTACTGTTCAGATGGGCTTTAGACTATTGCTTCAGTTAGACTTAGATGTGCCAAAACAGTGTAGAAATATAAAAATCACAGATTTGAGGGGAAAAAACCCCAAACAAACCACCCCAATTCTTGTAAACTCCCAGCTACACGCAGAGTTGAGGCTCCGGAATACTATCGGTGATGGTACGTTATGGCAGTTAGGTAACAAGTGACAGCAAGAACCAAATGGCATAGCTAGAATATTAGAAAGAAAGGCTGAGCTTCCTTTCCACGGAAGTGAGACGGAGAAAATAACCAAGGGTTTATACCTGATGGACTTGTGTGCTGTTTGTACATGCATACAGGGTGGAAGCGGTTCTTAAAGCTACTCAGCACATTGCAGTTAGTTCCACTGCTGCCAAGGAGGGACAGTTTTGTCTCAAGTATTCCACAACAAGCCACTTACTTACAGGTAAGCCAAACAAAGTATTACATCCGGGAGGACATAGCCCTTACCTTTTTTGGAGGGACATAACATCACAAGCTCAAAAGAAAAAGGCACTAGAGTTTTGGTTTTTTATTCCTTAGAAATGCTGGCTTTATAATTGTACCCCTTTTATTCTAAACTCACTGGTAACACTATTTTGGTAATGCTGGATATATTAACTAAGACCCAGTTCTGATCAGTATACCTCTGCCAAGTTGCAGAAATTAATACTGTTTTAAGATTTTGTGGTATCCTCACTGACTACAGCCCAAAGCATCAAGCCCAAATGACATTTCCAGTGCTTGCCCCTGTTCTGAAGGCAGTCCAGTTCCACGTTGTGGCACACCTGCACTCCAGAAGACCTGCCCAACGGGCCTCCGGTCACAGCTTCCTGCTCTGGACATGACCAGCAGAGAGGCTTAGGCACAAGTAACACTGTGCTGTCTCCTATGTGGCAACCACCATTTTTTATTCATTTGGTTAAATACCAGCACGGGTATTTAAGGAGGAAATGAGCATAAAAATCCTTTTCTAGTCCTCCTTCAACATTTTCCCCTTAATTGGTAGATCTTTCTAAAACAGCACTGTGGATCTGGCGTTTCTGTTACACGCTGCGTTACATCGCCAGCTGGCGCCTCTCGCAAGCACCCAGTTCAGACTGTAGTCATCAGAGTTGTGATGAGCTGCCTCTCAAGGTGCGCTGTTCTCACTGCGGTGGGCTGCATTCACAGTTCTCCTACCATGTCAGTAATGTCAACTTCAATGTGCTTAGTCCGGTGCGTTTCAGGCTATGTGCAATTAGAACCCTGTAATGGCTTGATTTACAGCTCCGTACTTAGGAGCACATTAGCTGTGCATTTTGACCTAATCTGTATCACTTCTCATTTTTGTTTTTAAAAACCAATCTCAGGGATCACTCTCCATTTGAGAATTTCGCTCCCTTTCCCTGTCCCTCCCAATCAAATTCAGGAGGAGGCAGCTACACCTCCTCAGCCCCTACAAGCTCAGAAGTTACAGATACCGAAGGAGGAGGAGTAGCCTCCCCCCAACAAGAAGAAACGGTGATTTTGCTGCCTGAGGCTCCCAACCGCTGCAAGACAACTTGCTGCCTATTCTCCCAAACCCCATTTCTGGCCCAAATCAGCCACTTCACAGTAGTGCTGACCCCTCCTCTGGAAGAGAGCACCACAGCTGCCAGGTACTCCTGCAACTTTGCTACTGATCAGTTAACATCGAAGCTTCAGTGGGGTCTGTTTCAGCAAAAACTCAAGTCAAAGCTGTGTCCGGATCAGCTGGGTGTGAGGGTAGCTCTTCAAGAACCCTTTCCACAGCACAAGTACCCGAAGGCACCTCACCTACCCCATTCCTTTCCTTCCACTCTCTGCCATGGCTCATCCCTGCTGTATTCTCGACAGAAACGCACCCCGCTCGCTGTCCCAGCGCCTTGGCTGTCGTTACTAAGGAGAATGTTCTGAAAGCTTAGCGATGGTCACAAAAACCCCCGCCCACCGTGCTCCAGAGCTCAGGACTTTTGTAAGCTTCACTTTGCTGCCAGCATTATGCCAAAAAACAAAGCAAAGGGAGAAGAGAAAGCTTCCAGCAAATGAAACTATCTCCCACCTTCAAAGAAAAGCAAGAATTACACTGATATTCATTTGTCCAATAGTAAGGAGTAAAGTAACTACTCTGGGACTACTGGACTTGAGTAAGTTCACGTGAAAGAAATCTGTTCTAATAATATACCGAAAGCAGTGAAATCCAATGTAGAAGTT